CTCTCTGTCCACCCTATCTAATCCTCTGATCATCTTGTATGTCTCTATTAAGTCACCTCTTAACCTTCTTCTCTCTAACGAAAACAGCCTCAAGTCCCTCAGCCTTTCCTCATAAGACCTTCCTTCCATACCAGGCAACATCCTGGTAAGTCTCCTCTGCACCCTTTCCAATGCTTCCACATCCTTCCTATAATGCGGCAACCAGAACTGTACGCAATACTCTGCGCCAGAGTTTTGTACAGCTGCAACATGACCTCATGGCTCCGAAACTCAATCCCTCTACCAATAAAACCTAACACACCGTACGCCTTCTTAACAACGCTATCAACCTGGGTGGCAACTTTCAGTGATCTATGCACATGGACACCGAGATCTCTCTGCTCATCCACACTACCAAGAATCTTACCATTAGCCCAGTGCTCTGTATTCCTGTTATTCCTTCCAAAGTGAATCACCTCACACTTTTCCGCATTAAACTCCATTTGCCACCTCTTAGCCCAGTTCTGCAGCTTATCTATGTCCCTCTGTAACCTGCAACATCCTTCCACAACTCCACCGACTTTAGTGTCATCTGCAAATTTACTAATCCTTCTACGCCCTCATCCAGGTCATTTATAAAAATGACAAACAGTAGTGGCCCCAAAACAGATCCTTGCGGTACACCACTAGTAACTGAACTCCAGGATGAACATTTCCCATCAACCACCACCCTCTGTCTTCTTACAGTTAGCCAATTTCTGATCCAAACCACTAAATCACCCTCAATCCCATGCCTCGTATTTTCTGCAATAGCCTACCATGGGGAACCTTATCAAACGCTTTACTGAAATCCATATACACCACATCAACCGCTTTACCCTCATCTACCTGTTTGGTCACCTTCTCAAAGAACTCAATAAGGTTTGTGAGGCACGACCTACCCTTCACACAACTGTGTTGACAATCCCTAATCAAATTATTCCTTTCTAGATGATTATAAATCCTATCTCTTATAATCCTTTCCAACACTTTACCCACAACCGAAGTAAGGCTCACTGGTCTATAATTACCAGGGTTGTCTCTACTCCCCTTCTTGAACAAGGGGACAACATTTGCTAGTCTCCAGTCTTCTGGCACTATTCCTGAAGACAATGACGACATAAAGATCAAAGCCAAAGGCCCTGCAATCTCCTCTCTAGCTTCCCAGAGAATCCTAGGATAAATCCCATCCGGCCCAGGGGACTTACCTATTTTCGCACCTTCCAGAATTGCTAACACCTCCTCCTTATGAACCTCAATCCCGTCTAGTCTAATAGACTGTATCTCAGTATTCTCCTCGACTACATTGTCTTTTTCCTGTGTGAATACTGATGAAAAATATTCATTTAGCTCCTCTCCTATCTCTTTGGACTCCAAGCACAACTTCCCACTACTGTCCTTGACTGGCCCTAATCTTACTCCAGCTCGAGCTGGAATTTAACCCCAGCTGTTGCCATTGCTCTGTATCACAAACCAGCCATCCAGCCAACTGAGCTACCGAAGTAGAACTTGTTGGCAACCATTTTAAATTATTCAGTTAGTGGTGATAAGTCCAAGAGGTTGATTCATCTCATCTAGTCATTGATTGTAGATATTTTTTTTAGAGACATTCCTGGCTCTCAAAATGCTACTAGACATGTTAATTTAATCGAAGTAAATTGAGCTATTTAATCACTTTGCCCTTTTTTAAAATTCGTAGTAGCTGTTGCTTACTTTTATAGTTTGTCATTCATTGACCTTGATGACTGGTGGCTTTCATTTCCACTTGCTCATTGTTGATGGTTTGGTGTGTGATATATTTGTTTTGTAGTTTGCTGCTGTTTCATGAATGTGAAATTTGAACTTTTCGGGTGCAAGTGAGACAAACTTGCATGTAGTCAGCCATGATGTCAGTGTAAAGGACAAAATGTGTTAGACATTATAAGCTTTTTTAAAAAATGTATAGCTTGTCATTAATAATTTTACGGTTATTTTCCAGATCTGTATAATTTTATTTTGTACTGGTTTTAAAATAAATTTTAATATGTGCAATATAACAGGTAAAAACAGGAGCATTCTGCCTCTTCCCTCATGTCACATATGAAATGCAATCAATCAATGGCTTCAGAAATTCTATCCTTCACATAAGTGTTTATTTCAGAACAACATTTGCCATCTAGCTCGTCCAGTATATTAATTCCTGATTTTTGAGCAATTGCAGATGAATCTGTTGACTTCAGCTGAAACGATTTCCTAAACTAAATGCACATGTGGAGTTTTTGTTTGAGGTTGGATGGGTTGAACAGACTGTTTATTTTAAGCTCTCGCCAATTAGACTTCCTTCTGTTTCTTACAAATCCTTACAAATAGAGAGCCTACAAACTTCGATAAATGTTAGTTGAATGGGGGAGGTGGTGACCCAAAGAAATTGGGTTTTAAATATCCAGCTAAAGGAATGGCAGAATCCAGATAGAAATCTGACAGTTTAAGGAGCATGGTGGTGAAATAATTTAGTCTTGAAAAACAATTGTGGTGTAACCTATTGATTGAGTAGTGCCTTCATTTTACTTACAATGTAAAGTATTCCTTCCAAAGATGGACACTCATACTTTCAATACCTTACTGTTTACTTCACTTTTCAGTCGTTAAGCTTCATTTCAGATATTCCTTTTTTAACAGGGTTTCTCTAAATAAATTACTAACGACTGCTTCCCTGCAATTTGACAGTCTTTTTCTGAAATCATCTATGTTTTAAGCAAAAATGTCGATCAAAACCTTTTAACTAATTATAGAAGATTTTAAAAATTGAATCAGACTGACCACAGGTGTCAGAACTGAATGTTTTGGCTACAGTTGCTTTAATTTCCTTTTGCATTGAGTAATGCGTTTTATGCCTAGACAACTTTCCTAAATGATATCTCTCTTTGTCATTCTACTAAATTGTGTAATACAAAACTTACCCAAAAAAAACTAATTAAGTCGTTCAGCCTGTATCATATGGATGCACTCAAATGTCATAATGGACTGCATAGATTTGGCAGTTGATTTTCTGTTTAATGCTGACGTTGACATCTATTTTTCAATAAAGTTTCTAAATTGCAATTAGACAAATGACAGGTTTGTTTACAGTTGTGATAAGATACTTGTGTGTTGCATTTCTTTAAAGTAAAGCACAAAATGCAGTCTGCAGATAAACCAAGAAGGAAGTGGAAGATATGTACTGAAAAATATGCACTTCTGAATTCCTTACTTCACAACAATTCCCTCTCTAAGGGATTTATCAAAAACAGTTTCCATCTGGGCATGCTAAGCTTTGTGGTATCAAAACTCACATGTTTCCTGTTATATTTAAAGCTTGCTAACTCATGAAAGTGCTCACAGATGCTCTTGGGTATCTATCAATAATACATTTTCAAATTAATGTAAATACACTTTCATTATTTTTGTTTAATGATTTGCACTGTTATGGGTTTATCATTACATTTAAAGAGAATTCTATGGGCTGAAGGCAGATTTTGAGGTAAGAGGAAGCCGTTCAAATGAGGTAGGTTTGATCTGAATTGAACTGAATAAGTGTCCTAATGGTGATTTGAGCTGACACTAAGCCTGATCTACCACGTGGATTCTGCCTACCATGCGGTCTGGGCGGGAGGGTTGTGATACAGTATAGAGGCTGCTCATTTAGATTAGACTGTCCCTCCTTTGAGCTTGATGCACCTTTGTCTCCTTGATGCAACTTACTGAAGAGGGTCTATTGTCTGACTCTCTGGAGTTGCAGTAAACTTGCTTATTAAAATACTAATGTACAGAATCCTGATTTTTTTTAAATTCCATCTCTTGGGTGCAGTCAGTTCTTCATGTCTGAGTCTTGACAGCACGTGACCGCTGATGTCCATGTTAAGTCATTTTCTATATCATCTCATCAACATATGCATTCGCATTTTACTGTAAGAGTGACTATGGGACAGCAGGGAAGAATTTAAATGAGTAAGGTAGAAGGGGCAAACATTGAAGTGGAAAAAAACGCAGAGGGCAGATTCTTTGCAACAAGAATTGGACAGAAGCTGTCAATCTGAATGCACAAAGTGACACAAAAATGTCAGTTTACAAATAACATAATCACATGGAGAAATTGTAAAATGAAATAAAAATGGGTGAGTTGAGGGGTAAGTGTAACAGGTGCATTTGAAATCTGCTTGTAGATGCTGATTTTTAGAGAAAATCAAGAATCTAAAGGGTTATGTCACTCATGAGGAAAGTCAGGTCATGGTCTAGGTCCCAGAGGCACGCCTAAATGAAGGTACAATGGAGAGGGGAATTTAGAGGGATTAAAACATTCTTTCATAGAGAGGTTAAACTGGGAGCTGCTCTTATATTTTTTATATAAAGCAGCGCTTGATAACGGAGAAACGGGGAGATGGATTGGGATTACTGGCTGAAGAAAAATGACATCAAGGAAACAAAATATTGTAATCTGTTTCAGATGATCAAATCAAAAGAAAGAACATATGAAACTTCTTATGCAAATAAGGAAGAGAGTAAACCGAAGTCTTAAATTTATTTTCTCCATAGATATTACTTTACCTGCTGAGTATTTGCATCATTTTCTCTCTTTATTTCTGTGATTCTGCCCCTTTCGTTATCCCAGGATACATAAAGTTGATTGCAATGATCTGCCTGTCACTAGAGCTGAAATCAGCTAGTTCCAGTTGGAGTGTGGAGCATGAACCCTGAATGAATCACTGGATTAAGTTCCTTTGAACACAGTTTTATAGCAAGGTGCGCAAATGATTTTAACCACTAGGCTCACAAAATAAAGTTCAAAAATGCTTGTTAGTCAAAGTTTGCTGATATGATTTGCATATTGCGCTTTTACCTTGGCAAAGAGCTTGTTACCAGTGATTTGCAATCTCAGTGCTCGATCTTGTAAATTATGTTGAACACCAGCAAAAGTTTAATCTTCACTAACTGAATGGACTATCTGTATTTCTCACAACCCACAGATTGCCACTGCAGTGAAATTTTTACAGAACCAAAGAGTTCGTCAAAGTCCATTAGCAACAAGAAAATCCTTCCTAAAGAGAAAAGGTATGCCTGTTTCCTCCTAAACTCAGTTCAAAACTGGGCAAATATTCTTTTGACAATCCTGCAGAACATGTCAGTCATCTTAAATGTGAGGTCATGTTTTGACAAAACTTTGCTTAGAGTTCAGCCTTGAACTTGGATCACATGCCTTTGCAGGTAAATTATTGTGAAGTTAACTGTTTACACTTTGGAAGAAATTCATTGCCAATAATTTCAATTTGATTGCATTGAAGTCTTGGAAATACCTTTCAAAACTTTGATTTGTGTTTTTCTGTGCTTTTGGAAAGAATATGCATGATAAAGTTTTGGAAGATGGTAACGGAGGAAACGCAATGATACATTTATGATGTAAAATGCAAAAATCACCTCAATGATCTGTATTAATGATGATGTAGGTTTTTTTTTTGTGTTGCAAAGGGGAGGCAATGGCCCAGTCATATTATTGCTAGACTATTAATCCAGAGACCCAAGTAGTGTTCCATGGACCCAGCTTCATATCCTGTCGTAGCAGATGGTGGAGTTTGAATTCAATAAAAATCTAAAATTAAGAGTCCAATGAATACTATTAATTGTAGGGGGGAAATGTATATACATATTTCACAAAGGTCCCTTAGAGAAGGCAACTACCACCCTTACTTGGTCTGGCCTATGTATGACTCCAGACCTATAGCAATGTGGTTGCTCTTAACTGCCCTCTGGGCAATTGGAGTTGGGCAATAAATGCTGGCCCAGCCAGTGACGTCCATATCCCATGAATGAATAAAAAAAGCCTTGCTGTGGTCAGAGGAGCAACAGAATAGTAGGATTTGGGAATAGAGCTAACATTTTTCCAACTATGGGAGGAATTCCCTTTTCAAATGTCATAAAGAGATGCATGTCCCTCTTAAGACATTTTAAAACCTGGAGTATATTGTTAGTTTTTGGCACATTATGATGTGATGGTAAAAGTTTTTATGGTTTTGTTGAATTCTTGCTTTTTTTGTTGGAAGTCATGGGTTCTGTACTATTGGGAACTGTTCAGTAGTGAAGACTGCTACTTCCAAGTCTGGAATATTGCCTGCCTGTGTAATGATTTCATCTCCACTGTTGCTGAGCTCTTCATTCACAATATTGTTGGTTGAAGCTATTACAGAACTTTGAGACTTGTATCCAAAGCAAATACATGTGCACTCTCATAATTGCCTCTTTTCATTTGGTTTTAGTTGATTCCCTGTCCCACAGTACGTTTACTTGAGAATTGCATTTGAGTCGCTCCATCATCTTGCTCCAGTATCTCCACTCACTGTCTTTTTAAGCCTAGCCCCAGAACGTAACCTCTTTCAAGTCTGGTATGATGTACGTTCCTCTCCCTGTGTTTCACCTTTTGAGAGGAGAACTTTCAACCACAATACCACTGCAGTTCAGACTTCTCCTTTTTAAATATTTCCAGCCCTTACCATCTTCCAAAAACTTGCTTTAAAAAAAAGCTCTTTTGATCATAAATTTAGTTACCTCTTAATTCTGTTACTTGCCTGTTTTGTTCATTGTCTCCACTATTCATTACTCCATGGTAAGGAATTTTATGAAGTTTTGTTACAGGAAGGATTTGTTTGCCATCTGTTGGCTTCCCCTAATACTTCTGTGCTCAGAAAGTATAAGTAGTTGTGTTAGTAATTTCAGTGCTAGATCTTGAGCCATCTTGTTAGGCATCTTTAAAACTCTAGCATACTTAACATGATTAAGGGAAGGCTTTGACTAGTGAATTTAAACAAAAAGGTAATTCTGCTACAGAGATACATGTTGCTAAAATGTGTTCCATCACTAATCTAGTAATTGAGAGACTCAAGCTATTGCTGTGGAAACATGGATTCACATTTACTCATGGCAGCTGGTAGAGTTTAAACTTAATTGATATAAATCTGGAATTGCAAGCTGGTCTCGTGTCACTGGCTATTGTAACAACATATCTGGCTCTCTAATGTTCTTTAGAGAAAGATATCTGTAGTTGTTACCCAGTTTTGCCTACATGTGACTCCAAACTGCACTGTGGTTAGCTCTTAATTGCTCTCCATAATGCCACAACAAGCTACTCAATTAAAAGGCAGTTAGGGACAGGCCCAAATGCTGCGATATCCACATCCCATAAAAATATACTTCAACTGTGGTCCCCTGAGGAGTTCACATCACATCTTTATCCTCTTATCTGGGCTATTGGGTATGATAACCAGGTGGTTATGGTGGGAGACTAGCAAATGAAATGTTGAGAAATCAAACAACACTGTAGCAAACTGTAATTTGTGGGTTTATAATCATCAAACTCCTATTAAACTTGCTGGGTTATTGGCAGCGCCTAATTAGTTCCACCCATTCCTGATTCCAGGCCAACGCCGCTTGGACAATAAATATTGGATGGTTTCCCAAGAACAATATTTTTTTAAAAAAAAAAGCTTTCAAAACAAACTGTTGACAAGAGAATTGATCTTTATCTCAGTCATTGGTGGCTCACTTTCATCTTTCCGCATTGCTGAGCCATAAGCTTAAAATATAAACATAGAAAACAGGAGCAGGGTAGGCCATCCAGCCCTTCAAGACTGCTTCACCATTCAATATGATCATGACTGAGCATCCAACTCAGTCCCTTGTTCCCACTTTCTCTCTGAACCCTTTGATCCCTTTAGTCCTAAGAAATACATCTAACTCCTCTTTGAAAACTTTGTTTTGGCCTCAACTGCTTTTTGTGACAGAGAATTCCACAGGCTCACCATTCTGGGTGAAAAAATTTCTCCTTATCTTAGTCCTATATGGCCTGTGCCCCATTCTGATGCTTGACCTGTGGTTCTGGACTCCCCCACTATCAGAAATACTCTGCGTTTACCCTGTCTAGTCCTTTTAGAATTTTATAGATTTCTATGAGATTCCTCCCCCATTCTTCACAACTCCAGTGAATATAGTGCTAACCGATCCAGTCTCTCTTCGTATGTCAGTTCTGCCAGTCTTTGTCAGTCTAGTAATATGCAGTAAATAAATGTCTTGGGAATTTTGAAGACACCCAACATTAGTGTATTCTTCAAATAAAGTTGTTCTTCCAATTCCACCATTTTTGGAGTTCAGAGCAAAACATAAAGAATGACCTTCAAAGATAAAGGGAATGAGCTGGAAGGTTGCGCATAGGCGTGAGAGAAGATTGAAGAGGTGACCTGATGGAGGTTTGTTTTAGATATGTAAAGTGTTCAATGATATATATAAAGTGAACTCAGAATATTACTTTGTTATTCAAACCAGGAGAACATTAATTTAAATTACTGAAAAGGAAATTTAAAACAGATCATAGAAAATTGTGTTTGCTCTAAGAATGATAAACATTTGGATTGCTTTACCAGATGAAGAATCAAAGATGATGGGGTAATTCAGTTTGCAGTTGAGTGTTAGGCTGTGTAACATTGGAATGATGACTTCAGTATGATAAAAATAGTGTGTTTGGTGCTTATTTTCATCAAGCCTGGCTGCGCTACTTTTATCACTCTTTCTTACAGCTGAATCTAATCAAATTTCTATTTAATTTCTTAATTACCTACTGTCCTTTGCTTTAACCATTATTATAATATTACGATTGGTCCTTTAACTTTACTAGCTGGATGACAAGGTAAATTTAAAAATACAGTGTCAATCCTTGTTCCTTATGGTATGTGATTGCAAAGCCTTACTATACATTTAACTTTCTTGCTCCACCCCTATTTCCCATCCAGCTCTTTTTTGATTGTCTGCCATTGACTCAGTCTTTTTCCCACCAGATGGTCACCCATTTTTCCTATTTTTAATGATTCTTCCAAAAGTCTCTTGCTTCTTACCCATTTCTGTGACATGCCAGTCACCCACTCAACTCATTCCTCTTTAGTGAAAAGAAACATAATATTTTTATTCTCCTATAAATCATAACGTCAGCAAGAAAGGTGAATGTATCTCCAGTTTTGCAAGCAATTCAGTGTATTTACAGTTATTACACTTGAGAGCAAATGTCTTCCATTGCAACACAACTATTATTAATGATTATTTAATGATTATTCCGTCTGGTGCAATGATGAAATCAAAACTCTCCCATAAAGTTCACATTTATATTCTTTAAATTTTCCCTTATGCCTGACCTCCCATCCTCTTCCTTATGAAACATGTCTCATGCAGTGGGCCTTTAATATCCCTCACATCCAATTTGTTACAATTCCATTACAATAATTTTCTAAAATTTCAGGCAATCCAGTTTCTTATAAACGTGCATATCCAGCTAACAACTTTATACAGTGTTACAGGAGATTGGCTAGGTATGTATTAAAGTGATGCATCACGTATCACAATTTATTAACAAGACAAAGAAGTTTTAACATGCTGGCTCTTTCTGAATTGCATTAATTCAACTTAAAAGTGCATTCTAATTGCCAGGTTCCCCACAGCAAATAACATTGAATATGAAGTGACCTCAGTGTGTATTTACTCACACTTAGTTTACTTCCTGACCTCAAAGGGATAGGACATATTAAACAGATTCCGTGTAACAATATAATGATATATGTATTGCATGGTTCAGTACGCCAATCACTGTACAACATCATCTTATCTGATATATCAGGAGCACCATTAAAGGCTATTTGCTGCTAATTTTTTAAGATGAACTGAAAAAAACTGAAACTTTAAACACTAGAACATATAGATGACAGGCAATTTGTGAGCTATGCAACAAGGTCTATAAGTCTTTAGACCTACATTTTTTTTAATGTTGCTGTGTTTAGCTCAAACTGAACAGCAATAAATTACATTATGTGACTGTTTTGTAAATCCATAGATCTACATCAAAGATGTAGATAATTATATTTGCATGTAATTCATAGCTACTGTAAATGCATGTAATTAACTTTGCAAAAATGCTATCTATAAATATAATAATTCACAACTATGAGGGAGTCTGTAAGATGAAGAGTATCAGCACACAGTATTTGACTACATAATAGAATCATCCAATCTCTCAGCACAGA